TCCCTACCCATCTTCCCAGCCAAACTGAACTTCCCCTCACTGCTGAGGAGCACAGGGAGAGCAGGAAGGCTCAGGGCTTGTTGTTTGTCCACTGAAGGCAGAGACGAGAGGAAAGATGGAGTACAGCTTCCTCTTCCCCAGCTTCTACTGCTCAGGCGCTGGAGGAGCAGGCAGCTTCCTCCTACAAAACATAAAGTGATAGAATCCTGTCTCGCAGCAAAAGAACTTAAACTCTCATCAGTCCGACATCATTTTAGAGTCCAGCCCTGAATATTAATAACTTTTATTGGATGAAGACGATCTCTTCAGTTCCAGAGGAAAAACAGCAACACTGCTCAATTTCAAATGAAATGTTTCATGTTGGGGGATCCCACGGAAGTTTCCTAAACATATATTTAATCCAAGAGATTGCTTTTTTACCTGTACTGTAAAAAACATGAGAAATGTGAAGCTTTGTATGTCAAATTTTTTTTAGGACAAAGAGTGATAAATATCTGTATATTGCTGGCAGGATTTAATTCCCTAGTATGAAAGGGCAAGTAGGTCTAACACCACTACTGGGGTTAACATTCTGGCAAATCTGAACAAAAACTAACATTGAGGGAAAGCTATTTATTAAGTGATGAGACCAGAGGCTACTGAGCTATGACCAAAGGCTAGAGCAAGAGAAGACTTTGGGAAGCAGAAGACACAGGCAAAAGTCCAGAGGAACCTGGAAAGGGACTCATGCTAGAGGATGAGGAAGAACTAAGCAGAGGAAGTTACAAAGAAAATGCTATAACCAAGGGAAGCTGCTTTCCTGCCAGCTGTTCCCTGATCACTGAACTGCTCATGAAGCTACTGCCTCAAAATGAGCAAAGACTTGCACATGGCTTTACTTTGCAGACAATCAAGCTGTAATTACCTGCCCCCAACAGCGGTATTGGGTGCGAAGAAATAAAGATGTTCCTCCAAGAAACCTGAACTCTGCAGCCAATTAGTTTGTCTTTCTTCCAACACCTTTTTACCTGGTGAGGCAGAATATGCTCTCAACTGAATACACAGCTGAATACAGGCAATTATTGGGGTTCCGGGATGTTTCAGAAACATATTTGCAGAGACCCTGACATCAAGATTGCTGTTTAAGCAGGGTAGAGAGAGGCACTGTCTTGTTAAGGAAAAAAAAAAAGACAAACAGGTTGGATACTACAGAAATATTGCCGTTTGACATACAGATGAACTTTAAAGGTTCCTGACAACTCAAATGATTCTATGACTCTATGACTCCATATTCAGACTGCAACATTTCTCATTTGGAAATGACTTTTCTTTTTAAAACAAATGGAACTGCTGGTATTCCAGATCGTTGATCTATCTGAATCTAGCTTAATCTGAATGTGCACCACACAGAGTCTTGTAAAACAGACTTGGTGAGGTGTTGTTCAAATTTGCTGCTTGGATATGATTAAAGCAAGGACCCTGTGTAAGCAGGTGAAATTGGCCCAAAGCACTGTGAACCTTCAGCCAGGTTCTTACTTTCCTAAGCCCTAACATTTAATAGTAGCTTCAAGAAAATTCACAGGTGGAATTTTTATTGTTACAAAACATGGCAGTAAACAGCAAAAATCATCAGCACTATTTATTTTAAGAATAATGAATCAAAAGGACAAACTCAGTGTTGCTGAGTATTTTTTTCTCAGTTTTAGACGACCCATTTGCAACGGGCCACTGAATACAGTACTTCAGTGCATATTCTTGACATATCTTTCACACAAAGTCTCCAAACACCTCAGAAACATTAATATATCAAGCAGCAAGAGCAGTAATAATTTCAGCTTCGCATTCACAGAACCTAATAGTCAAAGTCTTCCTGAGTACCTGTGGCAGATCTAAAAATGAAGTTCGATCTTCCAATCACTTTGAGTTATGCTTTGCTACGAGGTCGTGCATCACACAGACTAATTCATAGGTTGGAAAAGACTTCAGTAGAACATCCCCATCCTCCTGATCAAAGTAGGGCCTCACCAAGGTCCCCTCTGCTCTCTCCTCACCAGGATAGATAAATTCCTCTCCCTCAGCCTCGCCCCCTGTGCCATGGCCATCTTGGTGGCCTCTCACAGGCTCCCTCCTATTTCTCAATGCCTCTTTTGTCCTGGGGCCTCCTGCTGGGCACAGTCTGCTCACCTCACCATCCCAATTGAGGGTGAGGAACCCTTTCCCTGCACCAGCTGCCTGCATCCCTGGCAGCATGGCTCTGAGGCAGTAGGCCACCTTTGCCACAGGATGCGCTGCTGAAACCCCTTCAGCTGCAATTGAAGCAGCTACTGCTAGGGCCTCTTTGAAGAGCTGCATCAAGGCGGTTGTGCCCCTAGCCTGTCCTTGAGATCACAGGGTCTAGTGGTTGGCAACCCCATCCATGGCAGAGGGGTTGAAACAAGATGTTCTTGAAGGCCAACTTCCAACCTAAGCAATTTTATGATTCTGAGTTTACTTTTATTTTGGCTGGACTTCATTATGTCTCTGCCAACTAATTCCTCTGAAGGCCAAGCCCCATAAGAACAGCTGCCCCTTCCAGCTTATCAACTGCACCCCAATTTGCTGTGATCATGAATCTGCTGAAAGTGCACTCCATCCCATCAACCAGGCTGTTGATGAAGATTTTCATGGTATTTACCCCACAAGGGGCAACTGCAAAATATACACAGCACGCACAAACTGCCACCAACCCTACACTCTGTCCACAAGGCCCATTTCTTCTCAGGCTTACCGAGGATACTGTGTAAGGCCATGCCAAAGTCTTGACAAAGTCAAGGCAGACCTCTGTTCATCTCTCGTACTAAAACATGATCATTTATTTAGAGATTCATTGGGCATGATTTGGTCCTGATCAGTTCATTCTGGCTATGAAATAACTTCAGTGAGGACCAGCACCACAGCTTTCACAACCACTAGTGAGAGCTTGATGGGCCTGTGGTTCCTCATTCTTATCCTTTCTGAAGATGGCTGTAAGCATTTTCTTTTCTCCAGGCATCAGGAACCACCCCAGCCATCATGACCTTTCACTGACGACTGACAGCAGCTTCAGGATGACACTAGCCAGCTCCCTCAGCAGTCTCCAGTGTGCCCTGCCTGGTCCCACAAACCAGCTTAAACAGACCCTAACTTCATCCTCCTCTACTGTGGCTATGTCCTGCTGCCACAGGTTTTGCTTCTAAGAAATGCCCCAGGAGGATTGAGAGCAGACTGACAGTAAAGCCTGAGGCTTCATGGAGCAGTGAGTCCACACTTCACCTGCTCTTTCTTCTCCTTTTTGCTACTGATAAACTCCTAGTAGCCATTCTTGCTGACCTGCTCAAGCTTCATCGGTTTAGATTCCAGCCAAGCTTTGACCTTCTACCTTCTGTCCCTGTGTGCCCAGACAGCAGTTCTGTGCTGCTCTCTGGTAGCTTTCCCCTACTTTTACCTCCTATCTGCTTCTTGTTTGCATTTAAGCTCAGTAAGGGGCTTGTCTGTCACCTCCAGTCTGTATTACATAATTTTCTCCTAATTTCTTTGAAATCTTACAGCCAGTGGCACAGCTCCCCTTCACTTCAACAAAGGTAGAATTTTATCACCCTTTAGAAATCACTACTATCAAATTTGTCACCTTGATCATAAAATTTCGTTTTGCTGTCATCCTGTATTAGAAATTGATGCCTCTGCTATAAATGGTTTGTTTCACATAATTAAGCTGCACCTAAAAATGCTAGTTTAACACACAATTGTGTCTTGTGTCATTTTACAGTACCAGCCTTCCAAACATAAACTAAACAACACTAATTCACTGTGACAGCAGATATAATTTTAGCCTTTTACACAGAATTTTAGCAACTGGAAAATGTTTTCCATCTGCCTTCATCAGTACACATGAACATTCAGCAGCACTATTTTCACTTTTCAGAGCTAGAATTATTATGTGAAAACTCTGTAATATTTTTCTTTTCAACATACTTGTAAAGAAGACCTGGAAGTTAAAGGGAACACTACCAAATTGAGTCCTTCTGGAAAGCATTAACTCCCAAGAAACTGAAAAGAATAAAATTTCATCCACATTTTTGAAATTACCTGGAAAAATTTTCAAGCCTATTTTCATAACTGTCTGGACAACAAATTAATACCTAAACCCTAAGTAGTGCTTGCCTTTGTTTGAGGTACTGTAAAATGAACAGTAAGACTTACAAATACGAAGATGATGTTTTGGCACATTCATATTCCAGTTCCAAAATACCTTTCATTGTGAAAGATTCAAACCAGTTTCTGGTATGCATTACTTGAGATGTGAAACATTTTAATGGTTCATTTGAGATACTTTAAAAAGATTGCCAGCAAGGATAGATGAAAGCACGTTTGGATCATTCTCTCTCACAAAATTGAATATCATCAAAAACTTAGCACTGGTACTTCACACATCTACATTTATTTCTCATTCTGCCTGCTTTCTTGCAGCTCCTTGGATCTAAAATGCCCTTCAGTCCCTGGTGGACTTGGGTTCTAACTTACTCAGAAATAACCCACCAACATTTCCTCTGAAAATGTCAGTGAGTAAATCTTTCTAAATACACCAAGGCTCAAGCCTGAACCCAAACTCTTGCTCGCAATCTGAAGCTTTTGTTTTAACAACAAAATTCCCGCTTGATGACTGTGAGCCAATTCTTCCTTCCCTGCTTCTCTTCTAACAGTCTATTTCCTCTTTTTCTACAAGAAATATGTAGCAGAAATAATGGCACCTCCCACTTTCCTGCAGTGAGTGCTTATGCCCAGCCCTGCATTCCTTCAAAACTCGCTTCCCACTTAGGGGCCATCTCTTGCAGTTCTGGGTAAGCACATTTTCCAACACCTCCATAAAACCTCTCACTATCCCTGTACTTTGTGTATCTTAAGATCTACCTTTGTCTGATTGCCACTTCCCCTTAGGCAAAGGCAATATTTGCCCACACATCCAAGTTAGCGCTGATTGTATTGCACAGATAATTTTTAATTACCTTTCTGTTCAGAGCCACGCCATCTTCACAGTCCAACACCGCACAATCGACATTTAGTGATGGGATTTTTTGTATCTTCTTTTCATCATCCGCAGGTACATACAGCACAGCTCTCCTGGGAATGTACTTGTGAGATGATGCAAAGCGATAGCTCAGCTTGGGGACGCCAGCTGGCAGAGAAGAACTCAGCCTGTAAAGGAGAAAGTTGAAATTAGGCTCTTAAAAGAGTACTTGGCGATATCCTAAAAATGAAACCTTCCTATCTAGATAGTGGCCTTTTGAATTTATTTCTCAGGAAGAGATAAGGTAGGGAAATATTAGTATTATAGCTAAGGTAGGGAGATATCAGTATTAAAGGTAATTATGGTATAAAACCCCCAAAACACCATGTTCAACAGAAGTCGCAAACTATAACACCCAGAACTGAAGAAATGTCAGGGCTGAGGTTATCCATGTGGCCTTAATTGCACTGCCTGTTTTGTGCCCCATGACAAGTACAGTAAGGTTTTATTTTACTTTTCCCCTCTGCCATGGGATTCTTCCACAGACTGTGATGGGAGCAAGTCAGGGCTGCTTTAAGACAGGGGCTGCTCCCTGCCACATGTGCTGCAGGAGCTGGATGGCATGCTGTGAATGAAGAAGGAAGGCTGGTTAAACAAACACCATTTTGCAAGGTTGATTTTGCAACCTCAGTATTATTTCAACAAACGTATTTTCATGCGGATTTTAAATAAGCAAAATGGATGGAGAGGGAAGCGAGAAAAACCAGGAATGCTGGCAGAGCTAACAAGCCCACCAGCATCATCAGCAGGCCAGTTGGCCACAGAATCTCTTCATGCTTACAAAGGCTTCGTGCCCCACACTTCAGCACAGGTATGAGCCTGCAGTGCCACAGGGCTTGAGTGGGCTTCATCTGAGTGGTTGTAGGTGTTGGGTTTGTGGTGGTCTCCGCTCCATGCTGATCATTCCTGGTGAGGCTGTGGCCTACCCATCCCAAATCTGGCGTTGTGTGTTCAGAGGCAGCAGGGCTGCTGAAAGAGGCTGGCCTCAAGCACAGTAGGGAGCTTGCCTTGCTCCATAATTACAGGCACAGAGAAATATTTTGCAGACAGCACCGCTGCATTTCGTGGCCTTTCAAAAAAAGCCCTTGCTCGACCCTAGCCCTGCTTCTACCTATTTCAAGCTGTACCCCTCAGACATTTTCTGCTACATCAAAACTGAGGACAAAATAACACAACTCATCTTCATAGCCGGTGCACAAGTCACTTATAAGTCACAAAATAATCCCACCATAATCCAACACCGTTACGCATTATCATGTATATTATTCAGCACTTTGAATAATGCAAAGCTTTTCTAGCACCACACTGAATATGTCATTATCACATCACGTCAGAGACCCTTGCATTTTCCTATGTCCCTCTTAATAATATTTCCCAGGTTGCTACATCTGAGTAACACACAGCTACATGCACACAAGGCTTTTTTCCAAAGTGACTAACCCTCTCAAACATCTGGAAATGAGTTCAGTCAATCCACATCAGAGCCAGTGTGATGCCATGCTGACAGACCACTTTCTAAACTAACCCTACCAATGCATTCTCCCTCCCCCTAGACTTGGCATCCTGAAAGACAGATCTTGAATTAAAAACACAAAGAAAACTTTAATTACATTTTATCTCAGCAAAACTAATCAGAAAAGGACAATTACTCCACTAGCTCCTCTGCCAGGTCTCTGCCTATCCTGGGTGGACTCACTTCTTGAGCCCACAAAAATCCCACACCAATCTCTTCCTTGTAATGTGTCTCACCCTAAGCAACATGGTAGCTTTGCTGTTAAACAGAAATGCTTCACTGTTTGTTACAAACTGTGCCACTAGCCTCCTTAGTTAATCTTATCTCTAGCTGCAGCAGCTCCAAAACGTGGATGCTGGAGATCTTGATAATCAACACCAGCTGAGTTTCTCCTGAGCACCTTCCTTGCTCCTCTCCCACAAACCATTCCTCATTCCCAGCCTTGTGTTGAAGCGGGGGTGGTGACACAACTTGAGGCAAATCAAGTGGCTGCTAGTTAAGTCTGCTTAATCTCATTTTCTTGCAGTAGTACACTTTGGAAGAGCAAGGAGGAAGTGCAATAGCGGAGGGTCTTTTTTCAGTGTGACACACAGAGGTCAGTAAGGAATTCTGCAGTTCTTCACAAGACGTGTATGAGAAGATAGAAGTGATTCATTTCTATTTTTTGTCTCTGATGGCTTCAACTCCGTAGTGCCCAAAGGCGTTGCTTCCCACCAGCCTTCCAACCCACCCTACTCTGGTAGGAGTGGCTAAAACCATCATCTCAGAGCACACCAGGAGAAGACATATCTCCTATCACACAATGGCATGAGGAAACCCTCGCTGCCAGTAGAGCAGCCTTAGCTACATATCCCCACTCACGTCTGTGAACACCCCTCTAGATGGGGCAGCAACGTGGCTCCCCTTCAAGAAGCAGCACATTTAATCCGCGAACCTATTGGGCTCAATGTTAGAAAATGTTGGGCTCTCCTCAGTTAATCAACTTGCAGCCCCAGGCGCTCAAAAAGCAAGCTTCTTAGGACACAAAGTATTGGAAACATATATTTTTATTGACAGTTTGTCAAATTAATAGTCTTATGAAACATGAAGTAGCTTTTTCAGGACGTGTTCTGAAACTGGAGTGTATGGAAGGAACTGCTGTTGGCTGACCAACACAACACCTTCTCTTCCCAAAACAAAGAGCTCTAGAAATGTGAGTGCAAAATAAAATCCTTTTTATCAAGGATACTGAAGTACATTTTCGGACACTATTATTTTGTCAAATATTCTTAAAAAAACCCCATTCTCACTGCACGTTTGTGTTGCATAGCCAAATTTTGTGTTCTGCAATAGAACGAACTGCCCAGGAAGAACAACTCCACAAAATCCACTTGCCTGTAGAACCTTGTAAGTCTGACAGTGGCATGCATACTAATAGTTTAGCTATTCCAGCAACAAATGCTATCTTGATCATCATCTTCTGTGATTCTGATGGAGTGAGAACATCCCCAGTGTGGTTGCTTTTTTAAAGGGGAGATGCAATTTGTTATAACCCCATGCTGTAAAGGGGAAGAAAATCTTACACGTCTGCTGACTACAAGTATTTTGATGATTCAAACTAAGCTTGACTGTGTTTAAAACTAAATACACTGACATAAGCCAGGTGAATATGCTAAGACAGTGTTTCTTTCATTAAGCACTCTAAGCTAAAACAAGGACTAGGCTACTTGGTAGTGCTCAGTGCATAGTTTTACCGCAGTATTCTTCCATCCATAGCATCCAGGAGTATGTTGAATGCTTGTGGGTCTTGGTGATCAAGGCACATTGCTTCTGCAAACAACATTCTACTAAAGTCTACAACAAATATGTAAAAGTAGCCAGCAAATTAAACTTACTCTTGATCCTCTGAGAACAGTTTAACTGAACTGAGCAAATAGCACATCCTCAGGAAGGAGAAAACAAAAGCACTTGGATTACTAAGAGCTGCACTTTGCGATGGCAGCCATACAGCGGGGCGGCAACCAGCAAAATTACTGACAAGCACAGCGATGCCCCTGAGGCACACTGCATCGTCATATTCCAGCACTGCTCGTGCTCACACATATATTGAATGGTACACACCTGTGCCTTCTCACTGGAGCCAACAAATTGCAGCACAGAAAGTAAAGCACTTCCACAAGTTGTTCTCAAGATCAGCATTTCAGCCTGCATCTCCGCTCTGTGTTTATTGGCCAGACCCAATCATCCTAGAAGAGACTCTACAGCATCACATGCCCAACAGATGGGAAAATACCCATGGCTTGGTAGGCCAGATCTCCACTCCTACAGCACGGTGCAGGCAACAAGTTTCTAAAGATCAGAAGTAGCGACCCTGAATGCAGCGCAGCTAAAATAGCGAAGTCTCCTCCAGCTAATTGTTTGATGTGTGAAAAAACACACCACCACACAAATTAAACGCGGCGGTCTGACTATGTCTGATTTGCGAGGGAGCAGCTCCCCAACACGCACAAACGATCCACCGAAGACAAAGGCGAGTTGCGCGAAATTACAAAGCGCCCCAATTTGCATGGTAATTCTTTCTAATTAAGAAAAGAAGCGAGAAGTTGTTTGTTATAAACATCAGCAGGCCTTGTGCAAATACGAGCAGCTCACAGCCAAGCCGAGCGTTCGTCAAATCAAAGCGACTTTCCCGAGAGTTTTATTGGTACAGCTGCAGCGCATGCATTTTATCACACATGCTAATAATCCCGGTTATGGCACTAACATTTTAATCATTTGTTCTGTGGGCTTGTTTCTCAAACAATTAGCACTAATGAATGGCCAAAATTCCTCGGATCATATATGTCTAATTGCAGTCAAGAGCAGTTATTGTCTGCACGTACATTTCAATTCACCTCTGGGGATAATGTTTGTTAATTGTATTTCTTTATACAGCAAGTGAAAAAAGGCTGTTCGCTCCAAAAGGGACTAAGTGTTCTCTTCTTTCCCTTTGTTCCCACAAGAAGCTAAAGTCACTTCAAGAGGCACTTAATCCCATCATCCATGGTTACAATTGCCTTACAGCATCAATCAAAAAGAATCTGAAGTAAAATGATGCAGTTATATTGTGTAATTAAAAGCAATTCAGGTAGTTATTGCTTGGGGCATTTTCCAGGTCCAAATACTTCAAATGGCACCGCGGGGATCCTAAATACTGTAGTGTTTTAAATTTGGTCAGCGACAATATCTCACTGAGAAAGGGGAGGAATATGCAAAAAAAAAAAAAAAAAAAAAAAAAAAATCTCCTAGTGCGTATTGTAAAGCAGAAGAAAAGAGGAGGACCAGCGGACGTTTGAAGTGACAAAATCTACAAGTCTCCATATAAAAGGGAAATAAAAATATCAAGAAGAGAGAAAAGGGAGGAAAGAGAAAAGGGGAAAAAAAAGGGAAAAGAAAAGAAAATGAAAAACAAAACAAAACAATGGAACAAATTCCCCGCGATTGTTGAGAAGCTAACACGGGGGAAAAAAAAAAAAAAAAAGGCACCGCTTTCTCGGGCGGAAAACAAGAGGCTCTTAGGGCAGCGCCGTGCGGGTACAGCGCGGGGCTCCGCCGGCAAAGTGCGGGATGCGGGCGCTGCGCTCTGCTGCTGGCGGC